AAACAGATGCCCGATTGGGCCGGCCCAGCGCGGCCTTCAGCACTTACTTTTTACATTCATTGTTGTATTTTTTTCTTACGGCTTTATATCAAAATACTCCGAATGTTTTAATTATAAAAATCACTTATATGCAAACTTTGAAAAAGTGTTAATCATGCATTAAATAAATATTAAACTTGTATAGAAAAAATGTTTCCATTATATACAGAAAAAGTATAGTGCATATAGAAAAAAATAATATTTTTTTCTTTTTTGAAAATGTTAATCATGCATTTAAAAGATGTTAAATGTCCATAGAAAAAAATGTTTCTGATGTATAAGAAAAATGTATACAAAAAAATACAATGTGTATTTAACAAAGTAGACATAAAAAATATAAGCTGTTCAGAAATATTATCATGTATTTGGACAATGTTAAACGTGTATATGAAAAATGTTCCTGATGTATACAAAAAAATTTAGAATGTGTATAAAAAGTAGACATAAAAAATAAATATGTTTTGAAAAATGTTGACCATGAAATTGGAAAGTATTAAAACGTGTATACATAAAATGTTTCTAATGTAGAAAAAAAAGCACAATGTTGCCGATACAAGATTTACGTAAACCAATGGCTTGACTTTAATTTTCATGTTGTTTTAAATTGTTTCCACAATGATTTTTTTAAGAATATCGATGTTGATATACAAACTTGATCATTTGGTATGCATGTCCTTACAAATTGATTGTTTTTGATGGAGCTGTCTAATATGTTTGCAACCAAAATAAGACTTCACTTGGATTACAAATAAAAACACATATATCAGGAAGACAAAAATAATGCTCTTATGCATATGCTATCGTTAATTAATAAAACATACTTTGCTATTTTCATCGTAATGCAAATATTTGTTGGGCATCACCGAGGAGGAACGGCAACAAAAGCGTAAAGAGATACCTGCAACTAGATAGATATTTTTATTGTCTATAAATTGGAAACACCTTGAATACACTTCAAAAATCATCACATCTTTATTTTTTGCGCAATATCATTTAAAATGTTGTTTTTAGTGTGGCATCATCCAAGATTTCAAGAGATTTACTAATGTCTCGAGATTGTGTATGAGAGGAATTTTGTTATCCCATTGAAACGCACGGGCATGTTTGCTAGTAAGTATTAAAAAATATTGAACAATCATTTCAAAAATGTTGAACAAGTGTTCGGACAATGTTGAACGTGTATACAAAAAATGTTGATCACTTACTAAAAAAATTATTACTTTTTTGATCATGTATATAAAAATGTTAATCAAGCATCTCAAAAAACAATGTTGAACAAGTATTTAAAAAATATTAATCAAGCATTTGGGAAATGTTAAATGTGTATAAAAAAGTTGTTGATCATGTATCAATTAAATGATGAAAAAAAAATGATCATGTATGTAAAAGTGTTAATCAAGTATTTTAAAAAAAATGTTTAACAAGTGTTTTGAAAATGTTAATCAAGCATTTAAAAATGTTAAAAAGTATGCAAAAAATGTAGACCATGTATTTAAAAAATGTTACAAATGTGTAGGAAAAATGTTGATAATGTATTAAAAAATGTGTCAAAATAAAAATAAACCAGAGAAAAAATAAAATGAAAACTAAAACCAAAGAAGCAAATGCAAAAGAGGAAAAAAGAGAAATGAAACAAAGAGAAACATAGAAAAAGGAGAAAGGAAACAAAAACCGAATAAAAAAAGAAAAAGAAAAGAAATATGGATAAGAACAATGAAAAAATAAAGAGAAATCAAAATGAAAAACAAGAAAAAACCAAAGTATAACAACGAAAAAAAGGAAACTGGAAAAGAAATAAGAAAAGCAAACAAAAACCAAAAGAATACGAAAAAATAAAAAATGGAGAAGACATCAGATAAACAAAAAAACACTGCTCTTCTCCTTCTAGTAGGTCGCAACCTGTTTATTCAATACGAACTTGCTGTTAGCTCAGTGGCA